ATTTTTCAAGCAAAAAAAACCCAACAACAAGACCTATAACTTGGCAATCTTAAGTATGTTAAGAAGCTTGCTAATGTTTGTTTTTCAGTTTTTTGTGTTGCATACTGGTCATACTTAGGAGGCGCATTTAATTAGGTTGTCCTCCATGCATGGTCTTACTCATTTTCACCTCAGTCAACAGATACTCACATAAGTATGTATCAGCAAGTAGAGAGCATCTGAAGCAGGTTGGCGATGGGTTATGGGAATTAATATCAAGAATGAAAGGAGTAAGCCTTGTGAGTCCCATCAAGTCATACCTTATTTGAGTGGGGTGGATGTGGTTTGTTACTCCTAGCAAACACAGAAAGTTTCTTGTTACCACTCTCACAATGCCAAATTGAATGTGCCTCTGCCTTGATTGTAATTTGTTGTTGCTGTGTAATATGAGTTATGTTGTGCAACTGCCCTGCCCACTGTATTACCAACTAGCTGGCCATTATTCATAAATATATATGACATTTTCTTGATTAATACTGGTTGAATGTGTCCTATGGGTCTTAAACTTGACACGTCTAAAAAGACCCAACATTTATTAAACCTTTTTTTTTTTGTTTAGTTTGCCTGCACAGGAAGAGAGGCACCTATGCAAGCATAGTCATCTTCATTAGGTGCATATTACCTGCATTTTCTGTCATAATGAAATTAAACCAATCAGAAAGTTAGTTCTACAGTCACAAGGCAGTTTGTGTACTTGAGAGGGTACTTTACTTCCTAATATAAAAACTTATGCCTCAAACTAAACCACTACACAAATTCTTTGACTGTTGTTGGATCCTTTGCATAGATGATACAATTTTTATTATAAAAGGGAACTTCACAGAAGTGGATACAGTGAAAATGACTTTCAAGAAGAACATCATTGCAAGAAAATTATGCCTCCATTTTATATATGGAAAACTTCAAAGTTTTTTTATTTATTTTTTTTCAGTACAGAGGCTGTTACCTATGTTTAGATCAGTATGTTAAAAATATACCTGCAACATCAAGATTGAAAAATCTGATTCTTCAGTTTCTATTTGAAATATGTAAAAAATGTAACACACATACTCTGCCAGCACCCAGCAATACTTCTGACATTCCTGACATGTCAGATGTACTGGGATCTCATGGTTTGCACATGAGGCTTCAGGTCTGATGTCCAGGTGACATGATGTCAATTCATTTCAGTTTGGTTTATTTATATAGCGCCAATTCACAACACACGTCATCTCAAGGCACGTTACAGAGACAATACAACAAGATCATAGAGTCATGTTCACGCCCTTAAAGGTAGGGCACATTAAGGCAAATGCACACACAGAAGTCTCTACTTCCTCTGCACAGGAGGCTATATATAATACAATGACAGTTACTGATCTGATCAATGATAGGTTGGCTCCAGTAACTGAGCTGCTGGAGCTAGAAATTGAAAGGGGGAGTATCTACCTGTGTTAGCTTGGAAAGGCTGGTGACTAGCATGCCTAGGTTTGTCACTCCATTGATTGCCTACCTCCTCTCCTGTACATTAGCACAAATAGAATGGTGTTAGCATTACATGTCACGCTTGGGCTGGTCATCCACCTTCATTTTGATTAATATAGATTTATGAAGACAAAGTTGGCTTACAACTAGGAAACGCGTAAAGATAATTCTACCACTTTTCTCACTACCTGTGCATCTTTAATCAGCTCTAGTTTAAAAAAATCACAGTACTTAGACTCATCCAATGAAGATTATATTGTTCTAGACAACGGGTAACCAATTGAAAATCAGCGGGGTCCGAATAAAGAAAATCAACAACCAGTAAAGGTCCCGAGACATTTCTAATTATAATCTGTTGCTTTAAACAGAATTTAACACTGAAATAAAATGAGATGTTTATGCATTCTTGTTATACAGTGACTTTTTAAATAATAAAAAAAATTTTATAGAAAATTTTTCCATTTTAAAATCTAAAGTGTATTTTTAAATAGAGAACAACAATCGTTCAGTATGGTATAGAATTTCCTGATTCACATATGTTATAAAACACCTGAACTGACATTTTTTTTCTTTTTTTTGGCTTAATAAGAGAAGTGATCTACATTGCTTTAAACCTGGGTTTGAATAGTGAGAAAGGAGTTAATTTTGAATCAGGATCGATATTTATTTTTGATTATGTTCATGGTGTGAGTGTTCAAAGGCATAGGGGATGAAAAAGTAGTGGACTCGAAATTACCCACAATGCACCTTAAAAAGTAGTGATAGTTCATGGTGACGGAACTTCTCCACTGAGGGCGCCATCTGCACCGCTCTTCACTGAGCCTGGTACACTTGGAGGAAAAGAACACCCACGTGTGAATGCTGTTCCTGGACTTCAGCCCAGTTTTAACACCATCATCCCACAGCATCTGATAGGAAAACTAGAACACCTGGGTTTCAGCACACTCCCTTACAATTGGCTGCCAGACTTCCTCACCAACATACCCCAGTCAGTCTGGGTTGGACAGAACACCTCTGATGTCATCTCCCAGAGCACGGGCTCCCCTCAGGGCTGCGTCCTGAGTCCCCTGCTGTTCACCGTGATGACACATGACTGCGTCCACAGGGTCACCACCAATTACATCGTATATTTTATAGATGACACTATAGTGGTGGGCCTCATCAGAGATGACAACGACCGGGACTAAAGAGAGGAGGTGGAGCAGCTGGTGGGCTGGTGCAGAGAAAACAGCCGGATCCAGAAGGTGAAGAAGACAAAGGAGATCATTGGCAACTTCAGGAAGAACCGGCCTAACCATGCTCCACTGCTCATCAACAGCTCAGCTGTAGAGGTGGTCAGTAGCACCAAATTCCTTTGGGATGCACATCACAGACAACCTCACCTGGACTATGAACACCAACTCACTGGTCAAAATGGCAAAAAAGCTCTTCTTCTGCCTGAGGAGAATGAAGAGAACCCACCTGCCCCCTCCCATCCTCACGGCCTTTTACAGAGGCACCATAGAGGGAATTCTGAAAGGCTGTCTCACTGTGTGGTGTGGAGGCTGCAGTGCCTCCAACTGGAAGAACACCAGGAGAGTGGTGAGGAGAGCCATGAGGATAATTGAGGCTTTTCTTCCCTCCATTATGGACATTTCATTCCAGCGCTGTGTGTCCCGAGCCCATAACATCACCAGTGACCCCCTCAGACCCCCAAACATGGACTGTTCTCCCTGCTGCCCTCTGGAAAGAGGCTTCGTAGCATTAGCTGAAAGTACAGCAGGTTCTGCAACAGCTTTTTCCCCGCTGCCATCAGAATGTTGAACTGTTGAACTCTAAACTGGAGTCTGCATCACACATGCAACATTATTTTGCACTACCAACATGGCTGAACTTTTATACTCCTTTTGAATAGGGCACAACTCAATGCTCTACTGCATTTCACACCTCAATCACTTTATAGACCGGGGACTATAAATTCCACTATATAGTCCCTGCTCTATAAAGTGATTGAGGGATTTAGGGATTAGGGTGGATGAGACAAGAGTTAAACACAAAAATAACAAATAATATACTTGAAGAACACAGCAATAGTTCAGAAACACATGGTGTGTACTGTAACCAGAGTGAGGTACTGGCGTATAAAACTGTGCACTGTGCTCAGTGCAAATTGTAGATCAATCTATAACACACAGAGACACTTATGTCTGAAGTGTTTTCGCTTCAAGACCCAGAAATACAGTCAAACCATTGGTTACAAGTCAAGCGTTTTCACAGCTGGCTCTCTTTACACACATGATTTTAGCTACACTTCTGCCATGTGAGATCTGCAAATGCATAGAGAGGATTCGTATGTGTAATATCTGGATTTGCTCTCCTGAAAGCAGGCTCACAGGCAGCCTTTTCCTTCTTTTCTTTTTTTTCCGGCTGCTGGAGTTGACGTGACAAGGAAAGATGGCTGCCAACAGCGAGATGGATTGGACATTTGAGGCTACGAATGATCCATGGGTAAGCGAATTTAGTTTAAAAAACAAACACATGCAATTTAACATATTAATAAAATAATACAAATGGGATGTTATCATGGATAGGCTAATTTAGGTAATTAGTGACACTAATGTACAGGACTGTTTGCTACCAGTTCTATCAATCTTGCTCTTTTAACAGGAGAAGGCACAAAAATTACAGTGACCAGACGTCCTCAATTTCCGGAGAAAGTCAAGGTTTTGCACCACTTGTCCCCGACTAAAGCTGTCCCTGGAAATTACCCCTTTTTTACCGTTTTATGAATGGAGGGAAATGTTGCGTATGGACTGCTATTACGGTAAAAAGAGCATGTGAGCATGCTCTGCACAGAAACAACCTTTTGCTTAGGGAGCATGTATAAATGAGGAGCACATTGCACCATTTTTTAAGATTTTTAAAAAGTGTTTTTGTAATGTTTTTTGTTGTTTTGTTGCTGTTGTTTTTGTTCATATGAATAAACTGGTGTGATAATATAGTAAACATCTTTTGGTTTTCGGTATACGTCTATTTTGAATTTATAGCCCCCCCCCCGAGCAAACTCCACCAGCTGCCACTGATTAGGATAGTACAGCCAATGGTTGTATTTAAATCTATTTAAAAATTATTTGCTTGAGTTGAACGTAGCTGTTTCCAATCTTCATCCTTTCTGATGGTATGAACAAAAAAATGCACAGCTGGTAGAAATATATACTAACAGCTTTACCACAGCTCCAAAATTGGCTCTTGACTGTGTTAACTTAGAGAGACTGCATATGCTGTACACTATACTGTACAAATGTTGTGTTTTTATTTTTGACACCTTCACTTAGTATTTTAACATCTGGGAAGTCACTGAAGTCTGCGATTGTAACAAAAAAGTAAAAAAAAAAAGTTCATGGGGTCTTAGCAGTTTTGCGAGGAACTGTAGGTGGATTTTCATTTACAGTTCAACCAATCACCTTGTCTTCTTGTTGCAAAGCCTGATCATCTTGAGACCAAATGTTCCATTGGGTAGAAAGACTCAAGTAGTATGGAACAAGACTTGTTCACCACCAAGATAAGAGCACTGGTGGGCTTGATTCTTTTCATTACTTGGTGTAAGTACACTCTATTTCTACTGAGACAATTACTTGTAGAAATATAACATATTTGTTTAGGTTTTTGTTTTCTACTGTTAGATAATATGTTTCCTTATTATTTAGATCTTCAGAAGACTGAAGGGTTTCCTCGTTTGATCTCTAAAACTGAGCATAAACCTGGCGATAATGTCACCTTCTCTTGTCAATCGTCGAAGGACCACAGGTTCACTCAGTGGTATAAACAGTCTCCTGGAATGATGGTCCAAACAATGGCTTCAGCAGTTTATGATAGAGTCAATCCGACTGAGCCTTTTGATAACACACGTTTTCATTTTCTCAGAGAAAATGATAAGTTATCTCTAACCATCTCTGCAATTACCAAAGAAGATGAAGCCACATACTTCTGTCAAAGTGGAACCGAATTTTTACAAACGTTTATTAAAGGATTCCTCTTAATTGTAAATGGTAAGACAAAACCTGTCAACGTTATTGTCCTTAATAACAATCGTTCATCACGCTAAGTTTTTTCTTAAATACATTTATAAAATGGATTACTTTATCATAAAGGATTTCTTTTTCTTGCACAGACTGTAATCAACAGGAAACTGTTTATGTGGAACAAAATCCAGACAATGCATCGGCAAAACCCGGAGACACCTTGATTCTCCAGTGCTCTCTTTTTTCCATGGGTAATGAAACAAGACCTCAGTGTCCAAAAAATAACTTTGTTCACTGGTTCAAAGCTGAATCAGGAAGCTCTCATCCAAGTATCCTTTACACTGCAAGTAACAGCACTGATTATGCAGAGAAGAGAAGTTGTGTCTATCACCTCTCAAAAACACTTAAAGACTCTTTGGATTTTGGAACTTACTACTGTGCTGTGGCTCTCTGTGGAGAAATACTGTTAGGTGGTGGAAGTACACTGGAAAAAAGTATGTATTCACAGTCTACCCTTAAATCTTTACTCATTTTAAAGCACACAGAATGGTTTTCGTTCCCAGAAATTACTTTGTCAGCATCAACTACTATATATATTTTTTTACTTATAAAGGATGCTGATTTGATCTGATTTTTTTTTTTTAACAGAGCCAGACTTGCCTGTGCTTTTACTTGGAGGACTGTTGCTTTGCTGTGTTACAGTGATGGTCTGCCTTATCATCTACATTCTTTGGAGGAGAGTTTCTAAAAAGTCAACAGGTTGGCAATTTGTTTTTTTGTAAATACCAAAGCTAGTTAATAACACATAATTATGAAACCCAGATCTCAACAGAGAGCCTTAAAGATTTCTGTCATATAAAGAGTAATATTTATTCACTGAACTAGTAGGCAGGCATTTTTTTAAATAAAAAAAAACATAGTTTTTTTGGGAAGGGTTAAAGAAAGGCTATAACTTTTAACTACAAGCCACACACAAACTGTAATTTTCAAGTTTAGCCCCTTTTAAGGCCATATGTAATACTACTCTTTCATAAAATTCAACAGTTTCCCTCCCATTTTTGGAATGCAGACCACCAGCATAAAGTCATGAATTTACTTTTACAGATAAGGCCACATTCTACCCTCTAGATTAAATCTTGCATCGGGGAAAATAAAATAAGTCTGTTCAGGTGTGTAACATCTTTTTTGCTGGATAACAACAGTTACTAGCTATGTTAGGTACCAATAGTTGGATAAGTTCAAACTGCTTTAAAGCCATGCTGTGGGTTACATGACTTATTCAGCAGTGGTTCTGACCCTCTCAGATAAAAAGCCAAGTTTTTGAGTATGGTAGTCTGCGTGGAGCATCAATACATCCTCCAACAGTAAGGATGTATATTGACCTGAAAAATAATTTTATACATTTCAAATATCTAGCACTTACCGGTAGGTAAAAATGTACACAATCTTGCTTCAAATATTCAAATTCAATTCGATATTGAAGAATGACATCAAACTCCTTTTATTTACATTTTCATCAAGTAATTAACACTAATAAACTAGTGAGATTGTTGAAACCAAGCTATATATAATTTTTGATAAATGATATATACATTATGTAAAAAAGCTATTTATTTATAAAAACATGCTCCTTGAGAATCAAATATAGACCACACTAAGATAGACCTTATGTAGAGGTTAAATGCTCCAACTTTAGTCCAGTTCAGTTTAAATATCCAAATATTGTTTAAAAATTATCCTCTCATGTTGCCTAACATGATCTCTCTCTTGTGTGTAGTATATTTATGTATATCCCTGTCTGTTTATTTGAACAGCTGTTTGTTGTATATATTAGTTTTGTTTTAAGTTTTCAGAAACAAGAAATATTTATTGTATATCCTTTTCATCAACAGGGAAAAATGCCTCACCTAATGCCAGTAATGGCGGCTCAACTCCGGATAATTCAAAAGACTTGGTAAATATGATTTAAAAATAAATTTAACATGGTTTCTCTTTGTATCCCTAAGCAATTTTTTTAATATTTAAATGCTTTTTAGTGTCTTATTTCCAAGAATTCAATTGTCAACTTAAGATGTGATGAGCTGCTCACTACACTCAAATGCAAGAGGTTGGACAGTTTATTATAAATGTGGATGCTTCAATGAGTTTTTGATGATTTATGTTCTCCAGGAAAGATGCAAGAATGTGATTTTTATATCTGAGAGTAAAATCTATTGATTGTTGATTAGCCGCACAACACATTACCTGACAAATTGAGCCAGTAAATATCTTCCTAAAATCTAAGAGTAAAAGTGGATGTAAAAAAGTCAGTTCAAAAATTAATATTAATGTCAAGGAGATTCATCATGAAAATGCTCAGTGGACAAGCACTTTGAAATATTGCAGTACCTTCAAAAAGTTACTTAACTGATTTCGATTATGCAGCCCTTATCAGTCATTAATAATTATAATGTTTTCTTTATAGGATAAAGAAGATGCAAACTATGCAGCAGTACTGGAATTCTCTGCAACAAACAGGAGACAGAGGAAGACAAAGAAAGAGTACACAGAATGTGTGTATTCTATTGTTAGAGCAGATTCTCGAAAAGAGCAGCAGCTCTAGTTACATTCTCAGTGTTTTAATGATTCAGAAAAATCAGGACCAGGAGATGTTCAGAAGTTCTACTCTTCCTGGTTAATGTTAAATTCTACACAAATTATGGTACATTTCTTTACTGTTTTAATTGTGTTTATCTACATTAGCTGAATACTACAGTTGCAACAAATCTTAAATAAAGAGTTCAGGCCTCTGATGAAAAAAGAAGTAATTGGAGGACTGTTGCTTTGACTGTTGTTTTTAAAGTTAATAAATGCCTTGATATGCCAACATCATTTATGTATTAATTTCTGTATTTTTTTTTTTTTTCAGTTATTATTTGAAGCTAAAAATCCAACTTCCTCATCACCCTATTAAGGGATAGATTTATCAAATTTATGAATGAAAAGGAAATGAAAAAACAGACATAATCACAGTGATATATTTAATTTTATCTTTTTAAATCTAACTTGACATTATCAATAATGATGTGCAAATAAAAGTTTCATTATCCAGTACACTACAAATGCTGCTTGTAGTGTAGTCAATTATGCTTAGAAAAACAACAAGGTATTGTTTTAAAATAGTGCTTGCATGGACGATCCAAACTGAAAGAATAATTAAAAAAATCATCTCTCTCTTTTACCTGATGCTTTTCCACTCTCCTTTTTTCGCTGAGGGAGCAGCACTGCTGTAAAATGTAATAGGTACAAAAAAAGAGGAGGTAGAAATGCAAAGGGTAAAAGAATGAGAGGAGACAAAGGACTGTTAATATATATGGAAAAGGAGACCTTGATGAAAAACACTGATATAAGGGAAAGGTAAAACCAAATATATTAATTAAATATATTTCTGCTTTTATTTTTCATTATGTCAATTTCAGTCCTCCAAATTAATGAAGATAAAGAGAAAAAAATTAAAACTTTTTTGTTAGGTTGTTAAAATAGCTGGTGTTTAATTAGGTTATATGTTAATAATAAATAATTATATATAATAGCTACATTTGGGAGTAATCTGCCAATTGCCAGATTATAGCATGAATATACCGAAAGTATTTTTGTTATTATCAAAACAGACTAATAAATACTCAGTTAACATGCAATGTATATCATGGTCTTTACCACAGGTAAAGAAACAGCATGTTATCTCAGCACCATAGTCCTCATTCCAGATGTGCCAGAACGTACACATTTGTTTTCAAATGGTTTGTTCAACTGATTTAGGAAACAAAATATTTCCATGTTTGCATTTTCTATGATGGAGAGTGTGATGAAGGAATGAAATACATCATCTTGAGATGTAAAGTAGACATGTGCCTTTATATTAAAAGGATATTTTATCATGTTGGTTAATGGTCAATTCCTAATAAACATTTACATAATATGTTGCACTTCTTGCCCCTGTTATGAACATTTTTAATTAGCACATAGTTAAAGGCTGTTTAACAAAAAAGGAAAAGATCAGTCTTGTCTTTATATGTTTATTTTAAGGCATTGCACCATTCAAAGGCACACACATCTAAAAAATCAGGAAAATATGCCCTAAACTGAACATTTGAAGTACACACATTAGAACAACGGTGAAAAACAAATGCAAAAAGGTTACCCAACACTGAATGAAAACTGCCTCTTTGCTCATGAAACAAAATAAATAGATTCAAGGAGCACCTTTTTGAGGATGTAAAACCCACAAAACCTTTCTGAGATTTGGGT